TTACTTGGGTATACTTTGGTTTTACAAAATAGTTACCATAATATGTTTCACTAAAAGCAGAGAGGTATGATAGTTAGTGATATTCTTTTCAGTACATAGTGTACAATATCATCTGCCAAAACCGAACCAACCTGAGGCAAACCATGGCAAGTGCACCCAACAGCTTAAATTATTTCTTTATAAGCAATATATAAAACAGATGATCTTCGAGAACACAATATTTTTCAACAAAAACGAAAGTTAGATACTGTAATAAGAGAGTTTCAACCCAGTATGACCGTTTATTGAAATCTAATATTAAAGATCGCACACTGGCCTTTTCTTCATCCACTCAGCAATTCGTGGTCGACTCTCTACACGATCCTTCAGTGCATTCAACTTAGGATAATCTTTCAAAACATCTGACCACCAATCCACCATCGTGTAGCTTACATCGGCAAATGATAAATCAGCCAGTGTCACCTAAGTGTAATAAAAAGGCATTCTTATATTTTATGAAGAATTGTTCTGGTCGCTCCCTCATATTGTATTGTGAATTATTTACTGTTCGTCATTAAGAAACCAACATACATATACCAACATTATATCGTCTGTTCTAAAGATTGATCTTTATTGATCTCATCGATCCATGGGTAAAAAAATAGATATCGGAAATTATCTGCACAACGCAGTTAGCTTTCACTTCGAAACTTTTTATTAATAAAATTCTATGCCGCCATTCAAATTAATGTTGAGTGATTATATCACAGTACCTACCTCGTCTCTTGCATTGGACAAAGCAACACTGATACAGTAAAACAATTATATTTAATAAGAGGCTTTGGAGAACATATATGCACACACAAAACCTGACACAACTAGATATGTTAAACATCTACTAGTAAAAACAAAACCACGAGTGGCATTTACATTACTTCACATATGTTCCTTACCTTTTCGCCAACAAAAAATCCATTGCCACCATTGTTTTCCTTTAATACACATTCAAGTCCTTGTAAATACACCGGGAATATATTGGTATAGCATTTTTCCATTAATTCTTGCTTCTTATTCTCCTCGGCTTCCCATATATCGTTCAGCTTCTGATACATATCTTGCACTGTGGCTGTTATCATGTCTATCCTTGCTTGGTCAAACACGTCATCTGCATACAAACCTGTGTAGACAATGTAATTAGCAAGTTGAATACCCTGAGGTAGAAATAATGTTCAATAAATTGAAATTAAAAAATTGCACGGAAATTAAAAGTTACACACATCATAATTAAATGTCCCATTTCATTGTCACTCACAGCTTTCCTTATTAAAGATCCGAGTTAATTATTATTTTAGAACAGAGAAGGTTGTTGCTACACACACCTGTCTGACTAGATAGTAGAACATTTCAAAAACCAGCTCAATTATTAGCAAACTAATGTAAAAAGGTTAATTATTCAATGGGTTTTAATTTTGCTTATTTCGCTTACTCGAAAATGAACTAAATTAAAACCCAGTGAATATGTAAATTTAGCATAGAACACATTATCTAAATGATAAAACCATTAATTTAAAACCCACTGAATATGCCTGAAATGGTAAATCAGTGAAATTTAAACCCAGTGAAAATTCACTGTAATTGTACAGTATGTGGCCAGTAAAGGTACATAGTCAGGCATATAATGTTGATTACAAATCTGATCAGCTGTGCAATCAACCTTTGAATGATCACCACACAAATAACTGCCTTCTTCCTATTAGTATACCCCCAGATATTCAATGTTCTCAAATACTAGCTGCAATGAGCACACTGATATATTTAACCACGGCTTGCACAATTAAAAAACTTGCTCTCGACCAATCAGAATGGTGCATTTAGTCGATTTATTCTTGAATGTCACGCCCTCAAGCGACAAAGTGTTTTTTATTATGATGTAAATGAGGGAGTAGGCGATATTATTTTGATCTGTAATTGTCTATCAATAAAATTGTTTTTCAGAAATTGTACTTTAATCTGGATGACAAACAACTACACAAACCAAACACAGTTGTCGATTTTAACTACATTTCTTTCCCCATATACGCCATTTTGACGTCACAGAAACGCTCGTCACTAGAGGGCGCCATTTATAGAAATAGTGTATTGATAAATCACCATATGCAGTACAATCCTTTTTTACCATGTCGTCTTGCTAGAAATCTGGCTATGGCTTGACTATCCGCAATTGTAACTCCATCGACTTCCAAGATTGGTGCACGTTGGAACGGAAATCCTGAAAAAATGTCAATGTGTAAAATAAGATGTATAAAAAACAGAGATCATTCAGCAAAATGTCCTGTAGTATCTGGCACAAGAGCTGTGTAATATGTTCCAATTAGTAACATCATGTCTTCTCTTGTTCAAACTATTGAACGACTAACGCCAACAAGATGTAAGATAACAGGCCCGTAGCCAGCACTTTTGAATAGGAGGTTCGAAAACAACAATTATACATTTGATGTGAAATGTGTGAATTTTATAATATTCAAAAAGTGTTTTTGAGCTCTGTTACAGACAGTTTTATATTATCGGTCTTAAATTAAATTTTATTGGTAAGATATTTCACATAACATCTTTGAACTATTTT